GAATCAGCTTTAAATTTCGCGTCTAATGATGCTAGTTTCATTACAATTTGAGAAAAATGTTTTTCGACAGTCCTACGGTCCCTAAAGGTGCCCAACAGACCGTGAAAAATGAAAATTATTTTTCGCTAGGAAAAAGTAAATCATTTTACTCAGAATTTTATACTTATTCTGAATATATAATTCTTTTTAAAAAATATTTCGGACAAAAAAAAATGCTCTTATCGATACTTGTCCTTTAAGGAAAAAAAAACCTTATTTATTATAAAATTATTTATTTATTTTAAAAACATGTATTCATCATAAAACTAATATTTCGTTATTGATATGAATTTGTCAAATTTGAAGAATACATATTCAAGCGAAAATCATAATAATTCTATGAGTTCGGATATATTTCATTGAATAGCTTGGAGCTGTTTTGATGAAATATTAAATTTTGATTTTGATCTAATTGAACAAGACCAGGTTGAGGTTCACGTCCATCATGATGTTGTGCGTCACCTAAAAAAAAATTAATAGTTTAATTGTTCTTAAAGTTTCATTTAAGAAAAATCTGGATTAAACATTTGAAATTTCTCAAGAGATTATTTAAAAAAATGACTTACCCGTAGAGTTCAACAATCCAACGGCAAATAGAGGATGATATTTTACTGATTGTGAAAGTGGTCTTAATGTGTTAAGTTGTTTTACTTTTTGAGGAGCAAAATCGGACAAAACGAATTGACAAGTAACAATACCATCTATAAATGTTGCAGGTAAAGGTGTAAATATACCACCTTGTTCTGATCCAGCAGGTACAGGAGGTGTATGATTCCCAGGATTTATAAATCGCTGTATAGCAATTTTGTCATTAGCAAATCGTTTACACATAAACACATGAGCTTCACCCTAGAAATGAAAACTTTATTCCTACGCATATACTTCACATTCGAGGAAATATAATAATTTTAAAGAGTTAAGTGTGGAACAGAGAGAACATTGTATGTTTCTATATTTGTTCTATTCATTAAAGACCAATATTCAAGAAGAGGATTATAGTTAATCTCTCCTTTCTAATGAAAAATAAAGGTCATAAAAATGTTCTTCCTGCTCCAATAGTTAGAAAAGCTATTCTTCTATAATCACCATAGATTGATTTTGTCCGAGACCCATAGCAGCATATTGTGATGATTTAAGATTTTTAATAATCATTACAACATATGTGATATTGATTCCACCAATGAATGTCCATCTTACATTAATAGTCACATTATTAGCAGGTGGAGGATCTAGCACTATGTTCGTGGAAACTATCGTAGGATCTAATGGAATTGCTTTTCCATCACTGAACGATAAAAATATGAGTAAAAATGCAATGAAAAATTTCATCTAAAATACACAAAGAATATTTCAACTTCATTTTACCAGATTCAAGGATAAAAAAAAACACAAAAGAAACACAGGCTTGTTTCACATATCGGTTTTTCACAGTTTAGTTCCATTTGTATGGATATACATGAAAAATATCTCTTCATTGTCTGAATTATATAATTGAAATTGTGAAAATATTGTAATTACATTCATCATAAATACGCAAATAAAATAATAAAAAAACAAAAAAGCAAAAAGTTGTTTTCAATATAGATAAAAAAAGTAACGAACAACTTGTTCTTCTGTTTTATTATTCTTTGTAGTGTGCTTACATCGTAATATCATACAGATCTGTTGACACTATACAGAATCTACATAGGTGCATAGACTTTGTAAAACTTTTATCATTTTGCATATTCACTGATGATGATGCCGTTAGAAAGACTGATAAGGACATACTAATTCTAGTTTGTTTGACAATACAAAACGAATTTTCATGTTTAAAATCGTGACAATGCATTATGAAAAAGTACTCAAAATAGAGATGTTTGTAGTGCTAGTTAGAAAGATAGCACATACTCAAATCAAATGAAAACTTTTACCGCCAAACTAACAAAATTAAAATATTAGTGACTGTTGACTTGCCTAGAGAGAGATATTCGATGTTTACGTTACTCACGATTTGGACAGATACTCAAACAATCAGAAAAATGAAATTGATACGTTAGAACGGCCGTTTGGCGTTTTGTCTTTAAATACATTTTACACAGTCAAAAATGTCCGAATTTTCACGTTTTATCGGTCGCATTTTTTTCAGATTTCACATCGTTAAAATGATGGAAGAGGCACACGCGGTTAAAACGCATCTTTAAGATCAACGGTGTAAAACATGTAATTTCGGACATTTTTGACTGTGTAAAATGTGTTTAAAAGTTATCTTAGTTTTCAGCAAAATATAGCCCAGTTGTCATAGTATATCTTCTGACAATTGTATCTTTCCGACTCGTACTCATGTTGTAGTAAACCAAGAGTAGTAACAATGACCTTTTTGGAGTTGACTCAAAATTTGCATCTATTCCACATACAAAACAAATGTTGCTTATCAGTCAGTAGATGAGTCTTGAATTTAAAGTTTTGACTGTTTTTAACATTTTACACCCTCTATCGATAATATTCAACATTTGAAGGTTGAGATGGATTAAGAAAGACAAATTTTTTTACCATAATGTAGAGCACAAAATTCTCTATCGATTAATGTTGTTTTTTGTTCTTTCAAACTCAATTCTCTAGGGTAAAAAAGCTTAAATATTAAAAGTGGTGTAAACTTTTGTCCTACATTTTACATAGGCTACTATTTAAGCGGTCAGTAAAATAAATTAAATGGTCAGTACTTAGGTTATCACTCATGTAAAAAGAAGATTGGAAAAATTCTGATTTTAATCAGATTTTTAATCAAACTAGTGATTAAAATAAATTAAATTTATAAATATTTAATTTTAATGGTGGCAACCGTAAAATGCGTTTTCTTGAGCTTTATATTGAAAACTCAGATGTTCGATCGCTTTTTGGACTTCTTACCTCGAAAAATTAGTAGACATGATGTTAGATCGATCTTTGACATAAATTCCATGCTTCAAAACTCGATATCAATTGGTACTTATTCATTTAAAAAGAAAAACTATTAGAATTGATTAAAATCGGTTTAAAAACTTTAATCGATTTTAATGAATTAAAAATCGAATAATCTGACTAAAATTGAGTAAAATAATCAATGAAAAAATTTTCATCGGTTAAAATTGATATTTTGTAAATTTAATTTATTTTAATCACAAAAAATTCGATTAAAATCAGATTTTTTCCAATCTTCTTTTTACATGAGTGATAATCTAAGTACTGACTATTTCATCTATTTTACTGATCGTTTAATAATATCCCTTTTATATTTATATATTAAGTAGTAGAAGTGTATTTCGTAACGCAGTTGTAAATTTATTTTAATCAATATGTGAACAATTTTTTTGTCTATAAAATGATTAAAAATAAATAAATGAATAAAGAGAAAATCTGGTATTAATTACTTATCGTTCACTACAAAAGATAGGTGTGGGTGTGGGGTGTTTGTGTGGATCATATCTTCATCTACACACCCACACCCACATCCTGAAACATGAATATTTTCGTTACGTAAATTTGATTTCTTCGCGATTTCTTTAATCTTATAAGACAAACTTTCGATCCCAAAATGTATGCGATCGATAGATACTACATATTGCTGCACATAATAAAATTTATTTAGTGAACACTTTGCTTTTTGAATTCGCTTGTCTATTTTCTGTCATTAGTGTATTATTTGGTTTACTTTTTCTGTTTTTTACTAAAGAAATACTGAAATAATTAATATGTTTATTTCAGGTTTCAAACAATGATTAATTCGGTTAAACATGAATTACATACAGCAAAAGATCAATTATCGACTAAAAGTTCATTAAACAAAGGAATCTCATGATTTTCTTCTATTATCAATTATCATTATCTTCATTTCAGTATTTCCTTTTGAAAATCTTTTATTCAAATATAAATACTCATCCGATGTACTGTTTTATCTCATAGATCATTTTGTTTTTGAAATAAAACTTCGTGACATTGTCAAAAAACAATAATATGATTATTGAAAATTCAATAGCTAAAATCATTTCGAAATCATAATTAACATTTATATGATAGAATATATTTCAATATAATGAATTCAATTTTTAAATATGAGTGAGAAAAAAAATACACATTGAATAAGATAACAGAATAAAATACTCTTTATTGTTTAGTGATTTAGTTCAAAAAATATATTATGAAAAGATTTGCCATTATATCTACTAGAAAAATTAAACAGAAAGATAATATGAAAAACATAGAACATATCATCGACGTTTAACAATCATCTGAACTGGAACTCCTGGACGAAGAATACCTTCAGTAGCTATATGTAATTCGTCGATAGTTTGAGTTGAATGAAAAGTAAAACGACGAAATAATGTTGATAATACAACTCTTTCTTCAAGTCCTGCAAAACGTTGACCTATTTTAATAAAACAAGAATTATTTAGTTATCATTTGAAATAACAATAAACTGAGAAAATTTTCACATACCAACACAATTACGTGAACCAGCAGAGAATGGAATATATGCAAAAGGTGAAATTTCAGTTGAAATAAGATTCTGATCAGAAAATCTTTCTGGATCAAATTTTTCTGAATTAGGAAAGACATTTTCATCATGATGAATACCATATATGAAAATGACGACATTGGTACCTTTACGAATTGTTTGACCATCTAAAAGAAAATACAGTAAAACCTGATATTTCTTATGTCCATGTTCAGAATCACTATGGTTGATAACTGATAATCTAGTAGCTCTTGACTAGAAAGTAATCGATTAGTTGCAAACATTTTCTCGTCATACAGTATTTTTGTTTTTTGATTTCTTTTCGTTTCAATATATATTTTTCATACATTTGTAATTTATTTTTCTCACTATGAATACATATGATTTTTTCATATAAATGAACCTTTCCAAAGATTTCTGTACTTACGATACACGAAATCTTCTTGTGCTTGCCGAGAGACATGTGCAACAGATGGAAGAAGACGTAGTGATTCCTATTCAAGAAAAAGTATTTAGTGATATTCTAGTTTAATGTGATTTAGGTCCGCGCTCTTGTTGAAGAAGATTGAATGTAAGCTCAATAACTTGATAAGAGCAATAGCTTGCGATCCGCAGATTTCAACAATCGACAGAAGTCTTTTTCTCTGAATACCATATAAGACAAAACTTCAGCATCTTCACAAACATCCACAAAACTGCATGAAAAAGATTTTCCGCTAAAAATTCAATAGAATTCTCTACAATTTGACCTAATAGATATGCAATTAGGTGTGTTTTGAAATAATTTTGTCCTTATGAAGTTATTAAGCTTACATCTACACCTCTTTCATATTGGTACGGACATTAGTTTTACAATTATTATTGCTTACTTTGATTACACAATCAAGATAAGTCATTTGTTGAATATCTTCCATAGTGCATGCTCTTTCTTTATCATCTTTAAAGATATAATTGAATGATTTCAAGAATAAATATGACAAAAGATAGTTACCACCAAAGATCGTATCCATTTCAGCATGAATTTTTTCTTGCACATCTTGATGACATCCAACTAAATAACAACAATAATTTATTGCAGCTGCAGTTGTATCATGACCTTCAAACATAAATGTATCTACTTCTTCTTGAATATCATCGAATGAAAGTTTTTCAGCATGCATTTGAGCAATAAGACTATCGAGAAATACAAGACGACGTATTTGTTTCTTTTCTTCATTCTTATTTACTACATCTTCAGAGTTAAATGTAGCAAGACGTTCTTGAATTACCTTGATCGAATAACAAAATTTAATTAAAATCATATATATGAAATTAAACAATATACCTTGCGAGAAAATCCATGAAGAATTTCGAGTACTCTTTTTTGTTCCTTTCCTATTGGTATTCGATCGAAGATGCATGTAGGCCACAACCATGGACATCGTGAACGTGTAGCTACTATACTAGTTATTCTGAAAAGAAAAAACAAACAGTCTAATTTCAAAAAAAAGCAACTCAATCTTATTTTACCGAGCTGTTGCCTGTACAAACTCATTTTTATCATCATTTAATTGAGCATTTGGATTTGTACCCATTGCAGCTTCTAAAACCAGTTAAATATATTCGACAAAATTATTCTTTAACTAGTTAAAAAATATATTCTAATATACCAGCAATAATATCAAGTGTACAAGCAGATATGTATGGATATAGATCATGTGTTCGATTTTCTTGTTTTGCATATTCATCAAATCGACGAACAAGAATATATGATTGTTCATTAAATATATTCATAAAATTATACAATAATTGAGTATCATGAAATGATGGTGTGATTAAACGGCGACGACTACGCCATTTATCATTGTTGCTATTTAAAAATTAGACTATGTGACAAAATTGAACATATTTTATCAATGATTTGTTACCTAGTAAGTAAACCAGTGTGAAGCCAAGGTTCAAGAAAAGTGTAATGAAAAGATTTCACAAGTTGTTTACTATTATTAGTAAATGACTAAAAATATGATCAAGAAAGTATTTTTGAAAAAGAAATAATTCAATATACATACTTCAAGTCCTTGACCTGAACATAAAAATATTCTCGGTGTTATTCCAAGCCATATACAGAAAAGACCTTTGCCTTCATCTTGAGATTGTTTTGCTAATCGACAAAGTAATTGGAAAAAAACATGATGTTGTTTATCGAATTGAGGTATATTTCCAATAAGTGGAATTGATGAAAGAGGAAGCAATGAAATATTTTTATAGTCTTTTTGTAATTGTTTGTGTCGCAGTAAGACAGGTACTACGTAATATATGATGAGAAACAGTAAACAAAGAAAGAAAATGATTGCTGTTAGAACTGCAAACATTTCAGATAACTCTTGAAATCAAAACGATTTATTATGTTGAATGAGTCACAAAGTAATGTTTCTTTTCACTTGACTAGAGTCGTTAATGACTTGATACACGTTTTTCTTCTCGTTATACCTTCGGATTCAAAGATACAACTATGCATATGTTTGAAAGTATACATATCAAAAGGATTGCAATCAAGCGTAACTATGAATGATTACTTATACAATGTTATACTGCTTTGGCCTCATATTCACGTTGAAATTTTGATTTTTATCAGTTTTGATGTTTTTTTTTTCTGTAGTAAAAGATATTTATCATGTATTAAGGCTATAATCATATAGAGTTCCCGGCTCAGCTCAATTAATTCGGAAAATGAAAATAAATGAACAATTGTGTAACAAAAAACATATAAAATAAAAATTAAAGATAGCTAAAATTTTTTAACATAATTATAACACGTGATATTCCACAGATACCATTGATTATAAAGAAAGAAAAGAATAATAAATTAACTTGAGGAAGTATGTTGGTGGTTCTTTCGTCTGATGATGGTATCTGTAGAATATTATGTGTTATAATTATGTTAAAAAATTTTAGCTATCTTTAATTTTTATTTTATATGTTGTCTGTTACATAATTTTCCATTTATTTTCACGTTTAACTTAATTTCACGTTGGCAAAATTCCTATCATCCGCGTGGATATGTTCAGCATATTACTGTGGATCTCAAAAGTTTTCCCCCCTTTTGTATTTTTTAGTTTTTATCATTAGATCTTTTTAATTTATTAACTTCCTTTATATCGAAAGAAAGTCCAGAATACGCTGCATCTTATGGTATATTTATATTGAACAACAAATGCAGTTTGAAGTAGAAAAAGTGTATTAGAAAAAGACGTGACATTTTTTTTTTTATACTGCACAAATTGATCAAAATCTTAAAATGTATGAAG